GCTCACAGTTCAGTTTTTGCCACGGACAGGGCACTAGGAATATAAAGATGGAAAGAAAAAAAAAAAAGACTTCTGTTCAGAAAAGCAGATTCAGGCAGACACACACAGTCCCGATAGGGCACAATGTCAATGTAAGTGCAGACAGGGTGTTTAGGAGCCCAGAGAAGGAGTGGAGGCATGGAAGAATTCATAAAGATGGTGTCAGTTCCCATTTGGCTTTTTGGGTAGCAAGAGTTCAACAGATGATAAGGATTTGTGGGACATGGAACTATAAAATAACCTGGCATTTTCTAGAAACTACAATATGTATAATAGAGTAGAACACACGTGTATACCTGAAGATGGGAGACAAGGCTTGGCCAGATCAATAACCATATGTGCCAATGCACAAAAACATGGATTTGGCAACTAAAGTAATAGGAGTAAAATAAAAAAGACATGGCAGGGTGGATCATGAAATCGGAGAAGAGAACGCAGACGAGGAAACTTGGCAAAATGAATATAAGACATTAAAAAAATAGCAATAACAACAGAAATAAAAAAAACTAATATAAAAAGGAGATGGATTTAGGAAGAAGAGTCAGGAGAACTTGGTGACAGATTATGTAATAAAGAAGAGGACAATCACGGGAGAACTCCCAGGTTTCCAGTTTGTGCAACTGAATAGACGGTGTTACCCCTCATCAGTAAAACGGAAATAGAAGGAGTAAAGATAACTTGTTTTTAATCTCTTGAGTCTGCAATGTCTGTGGGGCCTCCAGATGGAGCTGTCCCTCTACCAGGCATACAAGTCTGGAGTTCAAGAGACTGATTTCGGCTGGAAACAGAAATTTGGAAATCACCAATGTTTCAGTAATAATCAAAATTATGGGCATGAAAAAGACCATCCGGAAACAATATACAAAACGAACAAAATGCAGTGAGAAAAACCTTCCAAATGGTTTATATAAAAAGGCAGAAAGATAAAGAATTAGTGAAGGAAACCAAGAACCATCAGTTTTCAAAGGCCAGTCCAAGGCCTTTGAGGAGTATTCAGGCTAGACAGGGAAATAGGAATCTTCTGAGGAAACAAGATGGATGATCAAGTGGCCAAATGAGGAGAGAAGAGTAGAGAACTCAAAGGATGGAGTCCTTGGCCTTGTCAGTCCTCTTAATTGCTGAGAAATGGGCATCACACCAGGGCACTGCCATGCTGTGCATTTCTAGGAGTACAGAATGATGGGTACAGCATCAAGCATGCCTTTACTTCATCTTTCAAGAAGTCAGCACCCCTGTTTGGAACACCTCACCTATACCTTTCTAGAAGATGAACACAACTCTTCTCCAGAACACAGAACAACTCAGTCTTACACCCTCAGAGATTATAAGACCTGGTTGTTACCCTTTTATAGAAGAACTCCCTTCCCCCTTTTATTAGCTTGAGACTAAACTACCAGAATGGATCCTATGTACCAACTGCCCCTCCAAGGGCCATCACAGCAAGAGTCTAGCAGATACATACCTTAAACTTAGGGACTGGGAGGGAAAAGTCTCTGTTTTTGGACCTGACATGGCAACGGGGGTCTTGGAGGTCTTCCACTGGTATATACTTTGAGTCCTAGGAAGGAAGGCAGGAACAGAAAGACAGCTCAAGGTGAAACCAAGCTGTTGAGCTCTAGGAAGCCCATTTGGAGTCCCACATGCAAAAGAGCTGGGTTCTGGTTGCCTACTTTTAAGAAGGCAAACCAAGGGTATGGGAGTTCAGGGTGCTAAACAGAGGTAACAGAGGAGAATGGGGCTTGGAGTTCCCTAGATGGCAAGGCCCGGGGCACTCACGTTGACACTGAAGTGGACTCCATCGTAGCGGTACACCTTTTGAGAAGGCCTGCGCAAGGCAGGGTCCAAGGCAGGATCCACGATGAGCTTGTAGTTCCGCCACTGGAAGCTCGGGGCTTTCTGCCCATCTCCCCCACCTTCCTGATCCATCTTTGCTCATTTACACTGTTAGGAAAGAGGGATACGCAAGGGTGTTCAGGACTTAGGCCTGACTCCCTAGCTGCCCCTCACCGACTAGCCCAGACTTCAGGTCCTCTTATCACCCCAGTTTCCACACCTCACCATGACCCGTGGCTCCCCTAGATTTTCCCCCAAGTACCCTCTTTCACCACAACACCCCATTCTCTCTCCACCTCCCAACTCTCCCTTCAGGCCCCCAAGCCCATCTCGCGCCCCCCTACCTTCCCGCTCTGCCTAGCGCGCGCCCCACTTGGCCTCAGAGCAAGACCCCTCCCCCGCCCCCTGGCAGGCCCCGCCCCCTCCCGCCTCCTCACCGGCCAGCGGCCCGGGCCGAGCCCGGCTCTCGCTCCCACACACCCGCTCGCGTCCCCGCGCCCCGATCCCCTGGCCAAGAGGTGGCACCTCTTCGGGGCGTTGGAAACACCGCGAGACCGAGCCCGAGACCCGGCTTCGGCCCCGAATCCGGGCGGGGGGGTGGGGGGAACGCGCGCCGCTGCCCTCTCCTCCCGCCCCGGCGCGATCTGCCCCCCCATCTCCGCGCACGCGCGGCGAGGCCTCACTCACCCGCTCGTGGCGAGCGGCTCCCCCTCCCCCCACCCCGCGCGGCACCTCAGCGGCGCGAGGCGGCGGTGGCGGCGGCGGCAGCGCGAGACCCGGCCCCGCAGCGGTGGCGGCGGCGGCGCCCCCCCACCACCACCTCCCCGGCGCGCGCACCAAACACCACCGCCACCTGCGCGAGGCCCAGCGGGCACAGCGTCTACATTCGCACTTTCGCTACGGGTGCCGCCAGGAGATCCACGGGGCCGAGGAAAGCGGCTTCGCCTCGGCCGGCACCGTTTAAGGGTCGAGAGTTGCGGCCCAGGGAGCCTGGAGATTGGCCGCATTCCCCGGAGAGTGGGCTTCACCAAGACTATCCCTCTGCTCTGGCCTGGGGTCCTTGACGAATCGGTGGCGACGAAAGCAGCGACTAATCCCTGAGGAAAAGGGGGCGGGGCGGAGGGGAGGAGGCCAGCCAGGTCTGGGGAGATTTGAGTGGCGCGTTGAACAGGCGCAGATTCGTCAGGCGGGCGGGGCGAATCGGTGGACGGAATGCGAGCTCCTTCGCTCCTCTTTCCTGCCTCTTCGCGCGGCCAAAGACCTAAGAGGCTGCAGATTCGCCACAGATCCTGGCCTCAGTTGTCGCCTCCCTTCGCCCGCTTTGGTGGAGTCAGGAAAATAATGCCTGGTTAGCCAAGCCCCGTTGGCAGAGTTGGCCACTTTTTCTGGATCTTTCTTAGTAGCACAGCTTAGGGGATGCCCAGCTCCGACCCTGGGGAGATGGCTACGGCCCAAAGCCTCCCTCGGAGTACGATGAGAATTTTCGCCCGCGTACAGAGAGGCCCAAGTAATTCTGAGCCGGCCTAGCGAATCTGCGGACCCTCCTGTGGGCGGGGCCAAGGCGCCGCGCACAGAGGGCGTGGCCAAGGCGTGTAAAGCCCGGCGTCGCGGGGGCGCTTCCTGTAGGACCCACCGAAACCGTGCGGGCTGGGAGGGGCGCCCAGGAGGTGGAAAAATACAACCAACAGCGGTGACTCAGGCCGTTTGCCTGGCGTCGCACATATTGAAGGGAAGGTATTCCTGTCGCTATGCCCCTTGGGCCTCTAGCTGCTTAAGATGCCCATTTAACAGATTGGAAGACTGAGGCCTGCAGAAGAAGATTTTACCTATACTCAACCCACCATTCGTGACTAAAACGGAGACTGCCTCAAAGTGATGTTATAAGACTTGTGGGGCCTAAAGGCCCTAGAACAAGTCTTGTGAAAAATAAACTACTATGTACCTGAGCTGGGTTGCGCTGGGCTGGTCGATTCTCCAAGCATCAAGGTCCCAGTGCCCTCCGTTTTCAGCCTGGGGGTGGGGGGGCTCCCTATGCTTACATGGTCCTGCCGCTCGAGGGCAGCATCAGCCCAGGCGCTGAGGTCCCCGAGGCTGGGCACCCTTTTCTTTCGCTGGGACGAAGGGCATTGGTTTTAGGGTAACGGCACTCCCAGGAGGTCCCTCGGCTTGAGCTGAGGATGCCCTAGCTTTCAGACAAGTGGGCCTGCTTTAGTCGCTCGCTATGTGACCTTGGGCAAGATACTGACCTCTCAAAACTTAAGACTCTTCCTCTGAAAAGATGTTCATTCCTGACATGCAGGACTATTGTAGGCGTCAGAACACTCCAGGAAAGGCCCCTGAGGCCTGGTTCCTGCAAATTCAGAGTTCTGCGCAATAGGAAAAGAAAAAAGGGACTTGACCAAGGTCTCAAACAGTAAGAATAGATGGGAGGATTAGAACCTCTAAAAAAAGAATTTATATGAAAGCATAGGTGAGGAGAGCAGATTTCTTTTTCAGTTGAAATGTATTGGCTTCTTTTCTAATATCAGAGAGATTCCCCATGTTATGGTAAAAATAGTCTAAGTTTTCATTGGCTTTGGGCAAGATCCTCAGCTTTCTCAAGCCTGTTTCCTTATCTCTCAAATGGAAACGGTTAAAACTTGTCTTTGAGGTGGTTGTGAGAGTTAAATAAGATAACCAGCTTCTAGTATGGGGAGTCACTCAAGAAAGAAACTTACACCAAAAGAAACTTATTCTAAATCCACAATGGAAGAGATGGAGAGCCTGGGCTCAGGAACAAGAGTGCAAAAATTTTTAGCCTTAGATTAACTCAATCTCCAAAACAGGAGCTACTGGCCCATCAGAAGGGGGTCATATATGAAACCATTCTTCTCCACCCCCAGGTACACTTGTTTGTACCTGGCTCTTAGGAATAAGTCACCTGGGGGCGCTTGGGCAGCTCAGTTGGTTAAGCGTCTGCCTTTAGCTCAGGTCATGATCCCATGGTCCTGGGATTGAGCCCATGTCAGGCTTCCTGCTCAATGGAGAATCCGCTTCTCCCTCTCTCAAAATCTTAAAAGAAAATCACCGAATGAATCACTCGATCCCAAGGAGGCCTCCCCTTCACCCCATTCATAGCCACAGGGACATCTGTGAAACACATTTTATTATATAAAATAAAGTGCACCAAAAACTCAGTGTCAGAATAGCTCTGTATTCCAATGGCTAGTGACTGGACCTTCTACCTTAAAACCTCCTCACCCTATAACTCTTGCTAGGGAGTTAGGTGGGCACACAAGCCCTCAGTCTCCAAAGATCTCCAACCCTGGCACAGGAAAGTGAGAACCAGACATAGAAGCTTAAGTGTGGGTCTAGGGCAGTGGGGCAGGCACTTGAACCTCCAGAAATAGGAAGGCTCCCCCTAGGAAAGGCTGGACCTCTGTCTGCGATAGAAACACCCAAATCCTTCTCTACAGCAACTAAAACAAGAATGTGGAACCCATCAAAATCTGGAGATGGGGAAAAGCTTCCCCCAAATGCCAGCCATAAAGTAGATTGTACAAAAATAAAGGGTTGGCTGCCTTCTGAGGCAGCTGGGTGGGTGTGTAACCTTCTGACCTCCACAGCCTGTACAGGGGTAAGTGGCTAAGGGTCAGCACCAAAGGTCTGACCAGGGTCTCCCTGCCTCCCCTCTACCTACTATGATCCTTAGACTGAAGACCTACTATACTACTTCCTCCCTTGCTCTTCCCAGCTCAGGTGTAGATTGACCGGGATAGACTGGCAGGGAGAATCCCTGGGAATGTGGAAGCTGCCCCAAGGCCCAGCCCAAAGGACCCTGAAGGCAGGAATCTGGGCTCTACCTGAGAGCAGCCACAGGAAGTGGTTCCAGACCAGGGCAGGGTATGGGGTCTGTGGACCTGGGTCCTCTCGCAGACCAGAGGGAGGCGGGTGTTTGCAATGGTGGCTAACATCAGCCTCACACAGCCTGCAGCTCCCCCTGCAGGCGACTCAGCTCCTCCAGCTCCTGCTTGTGGCGGTCTGTCTTGTGCGCCACCAAGGAGCGGTAGAAATGCAGGGCGAAGGCCACGAATACAAGCCCCACAGGTACCATGATTGCCGTGGAGGCCATGGCTGCTTGCCAGCCGGGTCCATGGGCCCCTCCACCAACACATGCTTGCCAGGGTGGGCAGGCCTCAGCTGGCTCAGCCTGCGATGGAGCTACAGGAGTAGAGGATGGCTTGGGAGCTGGACTAAGGGAGGTGGTCAGTGGTAACAGAGTCCCAGGCACCTGGGAGGCAGGCACCACAGGAGCTGGTGTAGCTAAGGGCGTCCCAATGGGCACAAACTTGACCCAGCCAACCAGGACAACTTCAGCGAGGAAGAGGAAGGTGCCCAAGGCAGTGGAGAAGCCCCAGGCCAGCTCCACATAGCGGTGGAGTCGCTGGTGTGGAGATTGGTGGACAGAGTTGAGGTTGTGGATGTTGCTAACGGCTTCTATGTGGGGCAGCAGACACGTGGAGACCATGAGTGCAAAGAGGTGCACAGCTACTAGCACGGTGGTGCATGCACTAAAGGCCACCAGCAGGCCTGGCGGGTATTCATGGTTGCTCTCCAGCTGTACCTCCACCATGGCCACCTGTGGGAACAGAGGAGATGGATTGAGTGCCCATAACCTCTTTGGCAGTAAAGGGTTGTTTTGCCTGTTGGTATACGTCACCAGTATATCCCTAGGACCTCGAAGAAGGGTGCCTGACAGAAGGTGCTTAGTCTCTGCTAAATGAATGAATTGGCAACCCTGGTAAGGCTCTGTGCTCTTCTAGCTTTGGCTTCTGCACCTGGGTATCGAGAGAGCTGACACATTTCCAAAAAGCTTACCTTGTTATAGGGGTTACAAGGCAGTTTCTGGAGCTGGGCTGCCTGGGTTCACTCTCAGCTCTAGAAGTTGTGGAATCTTGAGCAAGTGACTTAGTTCTTGCCTCAATTTCCTCATCTGGAAAGTGGGGATTGATAATGGCACCTACTTGCCTTACAGGGTTGTTGTGAAAATATGAGATAACATACACCAAGCGATAAGAATAGTGTAAGGTGCACAGTAAGCGCTAGGTGTTTGTTACTATTAGTGTTAATAACTAATAACACTAGTGTTAGTAACAGTTACTAAAACTGTTAACAATGTTAAGAACACAAGTCCAAGCCAGAGGTTGTAAATTGATATGGCATGAACCCAAGCCAGCTTTGCACACGTTTTGCTTGGCTTATATGGTGTATTTTTTGAGGAATTAGAAACTCAAGAGATTTCATGAATTATCCCAATTTCCAGATCCTCTCAACAACTGGAAGATCTGGGGACCCCTGGGTGGCTCAGTGGTTAAGTGTCTGCCTTTGGTTCAGGTCATGATCCCAGGATTCTGGGATTGAGTCTCACATTGGGCTCCTTGCAGGGAGCCTGCTTCTCCTTCTGCCTATGTCTCTGCCTCTCTCTGTGTGTCTCTCTCACGGATAAATAAAATCTATAAAAAAAAAAAAAAAAAAAAGGAAAGAAAAAGAAAATTTGGAAGATCTGGTTACACCAGGTCACGTTCCTACATGTCTGGTATCAGCTAGAGTCGAGTCATGACTGCTCCCTTTGGACAGGTCATGGGGTCTTCTCATAGTCACAGTCTCCACTCAGCCAACTTGGCAACTGTAATACCTGCCTGTCCCTTGCAGACATTTGCATTGGTGATCCTATTCTAGGCTTGTATAAATTCGGATTCTAGAGCCAGACTACCTAAGCTCAAATTCCTGCCACTTATTTGCTGTGGGATCCTGGACAGGTGTCTTAACATCTCTGATCCTGTTTTCTCATCTGTAAAATGGCCATAGTAGTGGTACCTACTTCATAGAATAATCAGTGTGATACACATTAAAGCTCTAAGCTCTTACCTAATACTGCATGACAGGGCAATACAATTTGTATAATGTTATTCTAACCCAGTCTACCCAGATACCAGGATCTGGATCTTTCCCCATGCCTGGTTCTTGCAGGATCCATTAGATTGCTCTGGGCCTGGGGGAAAGAAGAAGGTACAGAGCCTGGAGGGTGGTAGTAGGAAGACAAGGCTAAGTATTTTGGGAAATTGGGCCATGGCGAGTGTTAGCAGTTTCCCAGAGAGATCTGGGCCAGGCCCAGGCCTGGTTTCTCCCAGAGCCCGACCCAGCCTTGCTCTCCTCTGGTAGGACTGGGGCCAGTCCTGCCCCCAGAACCTACTCATCTGGCCTTTTGATCCTGCAGAGAAGGTCCTGGCATTTAAGCTGTCACCCCAGCAACGTGCAAGCCCAGCAGCAAGCTGGATTGTCCCCTTGGGAACCGGCGGGAACGTGGGATGGATGGGGGTGGGGGATCTCCCTCAGCTAGGTCCATGGAGATGCTTCCTTCCCTGTGCAGTCTGTATAGGTTAAAGGGAGCCACTTCCTTGTCCCTAGCTGCCCCACATCAGGAAGAGTGGGCTGGCCTGTGGATACTGGGCCCCTACCTAGAAAACCATAGACCCTGGATGACCCTCAGGGACTTTTCCTCTCATCATTCAAATACAGAGGCTGTAGTAGAGAGCGGGGGCAGTGATGAACCCAAATCACCTACTGCTGTGGCCCCTCCATCCCCATTTCCATATGTTCCTCTGAAGACCCCCTCCCTTCCAGCTTGCTTTCTCCTTGCTGTCATAATGGTGGAGAAACTTTGGGCCATTAGTTCAGTGATCCAAGGTCCTAGTTCATTCTGCAACCTTCATCTGCTGGGCACTCTTGGCAGAGACACTGCCCCATTCTGGGCCTTGGTTTCCAATGCCTGCCCAAGAAACTGGTAGCCTGAGCCATCTCTTATATGTGTCTTGCTCTGACATGCTGGGATCTAGAGTTTGACAAGAATTAGCTCCTGGGGCGGGTACTTGCAGGCTACAGAGGGCGTACTCTCTGTGATGTCACAGTTCCCGACTGGCCCGCGAGGGGCTGGAAGCCTGACCAGGGTCACACAGCTGGCCACAGGCCCAGAGGAGGCAGGATTTGTGTCTGCTGATTCCTCCTGACCCTGGGACTCCCTTGGTCCCATTTCCTATGGGGCCTCTGCTGGGACCGTTAGCTGGTATCCTCCCAGACGTGCAGTTTATCAGATCAGGAATCATGTATCAGCTTCCTAATCACCCTCTTTCCCCAGCAGCTTCCTCACAGGCATCCTCTCTGCCCAAAGTGTCCACTAAGCACTCTGTGGCTGCTAGGGACTGGCCCCGGGGATGGGGCCACCTTCAGTTATGGGGACTACTGCGACCAGTTTTCTTGGACTCTCCCAGCCCTGCTTAATAGTCCCCACATGGCTCGGATTTCTTTGAACCTCTTGTGGGAACCTGATGATGACTTCTGCCTGGAACCATGCTCCTTCTGGATCTCTTTGCCCCACGCTTACATATGCATTCCCCCTTGGTGATTTGTCTCCCCTCATGACACCTGTGGGACTTGCTTATCCTCCCTACGGTCCAGCTTATTCTAGAGGTCTGTAACGCACGCACCCGCGCAGGCACACACTCCCATAAAAAGGGACTTGTATGGTCCCTTGGGACCTTGCTTGTACTCCTCCACCTCTTAACCCTTCTTTCCCTTTCCTCTGTCCCATCTCCCTTGGGTGCCCCCGTCCACTTCGCCCACGACCCCATGCCCCCATGTGCCTCACCCCCACCCGGTGCGCCCCTTCCCTCCCCTCACCATGGCGAAGCCCGAGAGCAGGGCAGACGTGCGGCTGGAGGCTTTGAGCTTGGCCCGGCTGAGGTAGAGGCGGCGCCAGCTGAGCGCCCGCAGCGAGTGCTGACTGGCCCCCATGAGGTCCAAGTAGCCACGGTGCACGAACTCCCGGTACGTGGCCGAGCCCGCGGGGCTCTCGGCCTCCGGGTTCAGCGGGGCCTGCTCGCCCGCGTCCCCCTCGCCGCCCTTCATCCTGGGGGCCGCAGCACGGGGCGGGCCGGGGGGTCACGGGGGGGCCGAGTCGCCCCGGGAGCCCCACAAGGGCCGGCCCAGGCCGGCGGAAGGCCCCATCCTCCGGCCGGGCGAGCGGCGATGCGGTCGCCCAGGAAGAGGAGCCCGGGCGCAGCAGGAAAGCAGGCGTCTGCGGGTAGCCCTCGGGGCGGAAGCGGGATCGCAGAGGCCGAAACCGGAACTGGGGCGGAGGCGGAGCCCGAGCAGCCACATGATGGGGTGGAGCCGGGGGGAAGGGGCGCCGTCGGCAGAGATCCCGAGGGATCACGACCCCAGGCCACTTCACTACCAACCCGGCGCCCGAGCCCCGCCCCGGGGAACGCCTAGTCCCAGCCTGTGACTGGGAGTTCCCGGGCCCCGGACAATTCGGCGTACACGGACACCCCTAGGTGCCCAGACCTCCAAGCCCCTCCCCGTAGTGAGCCGGAGGAAAGTGAATCCATCCACCTGTAGGGACACCAGGGGTCCGGCATTCTCCGTCCCGAGAAGCCGTAGGAGGTTCTAAGGACCCCCAGAAGCATCCAAACAGACCCCTTCTCCCAGAGGCCCAAAAGATGAGCACTCGGTCCTCTGGGCTCTACCCACACCTCAACGCCGAAGAGAGACACACGAACGCGGCGGCCCTGGCTGGAAGATTTTGAGTTTTATAGCAAACCGTATTGTACAGACCCGGGCCCAGGGGCCCAGCCCGGCTGGGACCCCCCACTTGACCCCGCCGGGCTGCCTCCTCCCCCTCCCTCCAGCGGCCCCATCCTCAAGCCTTTCGCAATACCCAGAACCCCCTCCCCTCCGGCCTTTGGTCCGCCCAGTCCCTCCCCCCACCCTCGCACCTCCCTATTACCTGAGGTATGTGGATAGATCCCCCCTCCCCTACATGGTACAACCCGGCTCCCCCGGGAGGCCTGGGCTGAGGGGCGGGATCTGGCCCCAACTCCCCCCCCCGGCTCCCCAAGCCCCGCCCCCGCCCTGGAGGAGGGGCGGGCCAAGAGTCTGTTACTAAGTTCCCATGGCAACTAAGAGGGGCCTTTTCCAGCCTTAGCACTGGCTTCGGGAGGTGTCCATTGGCTGCTATTTCCATGGCAACCAGGAGTGGCAGTTCCCTGGGCAAATGGGATACAAGTTTCCATGACGATGAAAGAGTGGGAAGAGCCAAGCTGGAGGAGTCCCATCTTCCCCATCATTGGGCTGGCACCCCACCCCCACCCCCACCTCAGGTCAGGAGGGGTGGAGCTGCTCAATACAGTAAAGCAAGAGAGAGCCTGGGGGTGGCGCAGTCCAAGCTGGGTGCCCACCAGTCCAGTCTCAGTCCAAGCGAATCAGTCCCCTCACTCCGGCTCCCCCAGGTCCGAGGTTCCCCCGGTTCAAGTAACACTTCAGTACAGATGAATGTTCAAGTATTGTGCAGGGAGGCAGGTAGGGGGCTGGGGTACCCCTCACCACTCCCCTGGGCCACGCTGAACAGCGGGAAGGCCTGCGGCCCCCACTCCTCGCAATAGCTGCCATTGTCAGTGACGTTCAAGGAGTCAGGGTTGGGGGGGAGGAACTGAAATCTGGGGAGGGAGTAAGGAGAGGGGTGTGACCCCCTGAGGGGGTACTACTGCCCCCACACCTGCTCTTTGCCCCCACCCTTCACTCAGCCCTAGCTTTCCCCTGGTTCCCCAAGTCCCCCCCCCATCTCTGACACTTGGATCCCCAATTGCTCCTCTCGTTTCCCTTTTTGGCCCCACCCCCACCCCCCAACTCCAAGTATCTGGTCACGGTTCCCTGAACCCTTGGTGGTCTGCTTTCTGCCCCCCTCCCCCAGCCCATCTTCCACCTCCCCCAGCCCCCTGGCTCCCAGTATCCTGTGTGCAGATACCCTTTTCCCATTTCCCTCCCTCAAACTTGCACCTTACCCCCCTCCCACCATCCCTTTGGCTCAGCACCCCCCAGTACCTCTGACCCACTCCCCCCAGGGGATGGACAATGAAGCAGGTGGAAGGGAGATGGGATGGGAAGGAGAGACCCCCAGAGATATCAGTGCAGGGGGTAGAGAAGGGGGAGGCTGGCTCGAGTCCCTGGGCAGGAATCCCAAGTCATGAGGTGGGTAACCTGGCCTCCTGGCAGGGATAAAATGAAGGCCCGAGGTCCAGGCTCCTGATGAGTCCTGGGGGAGGGTGGGGGGCACCCAACTAGCTGTCCTTGAGAAGTAGCTTCTCCTCTGGGCAGCGGAAGGGGCCAGGAGGCCCAGCGGCTGCCAGCCGGGCACAAGCTTCAGGTGAGAGCTGGCGACAGGAGCGCAGGTCTAGGCGGCGGAGGCGCGGGCAGCGGCGGAACAGCGGGAGGCAGTGGTCCGTGAGGCGGTGGCACCCTGGAGGTGAGGCAGTGGGAGCTGAGACCATGAAGGTGTGTAGGAAGTGGACACTGGTGATGGGGACTTAACACACTAGTGGGATGGACACAGAGAATGCTTACCAGCAAGATTGAGGTGCACCAAGGTCTCGCGGAGTGGGGAAGTGGGGGCTGTGAGTAGGTGGACACTGGGGTCCCCGACGTGGGCGCAGTGGCTCAGGTCCAGGGCACTCAGCTGGGGTGCATGGCGCAGCAGGAGCCGCAGGGAGGCATCTGTCAGCTCCAGGCCTGCTAGGCGCAGCTCTGCTACGCCCTGCAGCCGCCCACGGCTCTCCGTTTGCCCTGGGCAGGTAGTTAAGAGGTCAGCACTCCTGGCTGCTCCTGTGCCTGCACCGAGGCATCCGGACCAGCTGTCTCCACACTCTGAGTCCTCACCACCCCCTAAACCTGCTCCCACAAGAGAGCCTCCACCTGTTCTTCTCCCAAACACCCCCATAACCAGACCTCTTTTAATCTGTCCATTGCTCACATCACCTCCTCAGTGAGACCCTCCATGATTACTCTGTTTGATATGGTAACATTCCACACAGTCCTACCCCTTTCCTGCCATTATGGTTCCCCTTCTCTCAACATGTGACTTATTTTTTCCTCTCTTCCCACTAGAATGTTAATTCCAAAAAGGCAAGAATTCTTCTCTTGCTCTTGCTCTATCCTTAGCAATCGGGACAGAGGTGCTCCATATATATTCACTCATCCAACAAGTGCTGTCCCTAATGGAACTGCCACCCCAGGCTCCCTCCTACTTCCCTCTCCTTCCATTAGTAACATCACCTGCTGGATCACTTGCTCTCCATTCCCTGGTCACTGCTCTGGGACAACCACCACTCTTGCCTGAACTCCAGCCTCAGCCTCCGCACTCAGTCCAGCCTCTCCTGAGTCATGCCCAAAAACAAGTAGGACGCCATCCCTCCTCTACTAAAAACTCTAAGGGCACCTCCTTGGCTAGAACATTCCAGTTCCTATAAGGTCTCATCCCTGTCTCAGTTTCTAACTCCCCTCCCACTCTCAAACACTGGGGCCAGATTCCATAGGTGACACTGCCCTTAGACTCTGACCATGGAAATCAATGTTCTGTCCTGGGCTTTGACAGTGTCCCTGGCTTTTAGATTTGAGCTTAGAGACTTCTTCTTCCCTCATCTCCAGGGTAGAAGAGCTCATGTCCCTCATCTCTACACCCAAAGCATCTGGCATGTGGCCTGCTTTTCTTTTATTGTGTCTACCACATTCCTACATTACATTTTTGGGGTTTTGAGAGGAGGGGGTAGGGGCAGAGGGAGAAAAAGAATCTTAAGTAGGCTCCCCTGATATCACCTGAGCCACCCAAGCCAAAATCAAGAGTCAAACACTTAACTGGTTGAGCCACCCAGGTGCCCCTATGTTTTGTTTTGTTGGTTTTTTTTTTTTAAACTAAGTGCCTCTGGTACACTAGCCACCATTAATTGAGCACTCAGTGTGGGCCAGGCACCAGCTAAGTGGGCCAAGTGGCAACCTACTCCTAGGCCAGCAGCTCTTCTATGTCCCCTGGAGGGCTGCCTAGGATGGTTGCTGGTCCCACCATCAGAGGTTAGGGAATCTAAGGTAGGGCCTCAGAGTTTATTTTTCTAACAAGTTCTCCAGTAATGGTGATGCTGCTGGTCTGGACCTTGCTTTAAGAACCACAGCTGTGCGATTACCACTCCTGCTTACAGATGAGAATTCTGAGGCTCCAATCATTAAGCAAGCTGTCCAAGGTCACAGGACCGAAGAAACAGAGTAGGACACCAGACCAAACATACCACAATACTATCTGCCTCCCAGGCACGAGCTTAGCCCATAGATAAACTAGATCAGATATCACAAACTCATGAAACTAGCCTATAGAAGTATTTTATGGAATCTGAAATTTTTATAGTGCTGAAATTTTTAATGACTAATTTCCATAAAGAAATCTTTTTTTTTTTTTCATAAAGAAATCTTGATAGAGCTTTTCTCTGAAAAGCTCTAAGATCTGTCACCACTGGGCTATCCCTTGCACCTGAAAATGACTAGATGGAAACTGGGTTGCAAGATGCTACTCCCTAAAGTCATTCACCAAGCCCATCCCTCCTGTCACCTGCCTGGCCACCTTCATGGGCACTTGACTTGGCAAACTCTGAATTCCACCTCGTTTTTTCCTTCAAAGAGCTGAGGGCCTTGGAAGGGGATACATCTGCAGATACCCTCAATCTTGGGCCACAGCTAAAAGCCATTAGAGGGAAGCAGAGGAAAGACAGGTCACTTCTGGCCTGGGCAGGGGAAGTGGGCATCTCAAGGATTTCATCAAGGGGCCAGCATTTATGGTGGCATTCCAAGGATTTGAATGTGCAAAGAAGTGAGATTAAGAGCAGGCCAGGCAGAGGGCAGTGGGGACAAAAGCAGGGAAATAGAAGAACTTTAAGTTTTGCTCCAGGAATGCTGCACAGAGCCAAAGAGCCAAGGTAAGTAAGGAGGGTGAGTGTAGAGTCCCAACACTATATGCAATCTTGGTCTTAAGTGCCTGGAAGGCTCATCTCTGTAAGCTCCTGAGGTAGATCAGGCAGGAGGAATTGGTGTCAGTGTGCCAGCCAACCAGCACTTTCTCACCTCATGGAATCCATGGTTCCTAATGCCCACCCTCACCTCCACCTAAATCTTCCTGGCTCAGTCCCATTCCACTAAGAGCAGGCAACAGGGAAGTTCTCCAGCCTAGCTATCCCCATGTGACTTGTAGCTGTCAACCCCTCTGAGCCTCTGGTGCCTTGTCCAGATAGTAAAAATCCTAGATGTTGCTCTATGTCCTTCCAAGGCTGCTGTGAAGGGGACTAGAGTGGAAAGAAGGGCACTGAAAAGTGAGCTGTGAAAACAAGGCTCTGGGCTAAGCACAGTCCCTGCCCTCCCAAAGCTTACGAACTCAGGGAGAAGAAATGGGTTTTCATTAAATCACTTCACTACCATGCAGGGACAGCTGGGAGAAAACTGCTCTCAAAGCTCTAAAGGAAGCTTGATCTCAGTGGGAGGAAGGATCATGGAGGGCTTCTAGGAGGAAGTGGCATTTATGCTGAAGCCTGAAGGATGGTTAGATGTTAAATAGACAAAGGACACAAAGGGGGGTAAAGCATTCAGACAAAGAGAACTAAGCAAAGGCCCTAGGCTGGAGGGACCCTGGTAAAGAGGCTGAAGAGGCTGAAATGTGGGGATGGCATAGATCAGTGGGAGCCAGACCATGCCAGGCCTTACCCAAAAAATATCAGTCTTTATCCAAAGAGTACTGGGGGGCTATGAGAAAGTTTAGAGCCTAGGAGTGACATGAAGATTTGCCTTTCTGGAAGTTTTCCTGGCATCAGTGTGGAAAATAGACTAGTGGGGGCCAGAGAAGCTGTTGGGAGTATCCCATCTCCTGGCCAGACAAGGAATCCCTAGGCCTCAGCGCTTCTTAAACCTGCACCTCCTGTGACCAGCCTATGCTCCAAGCATGCCCCTCCGCCAGTATGGACCTCATGCCCTACGGAGGTGCTGACTCCTGCCTCACACTCCCTGAGACACCCTTACCCTTTTTAGGACTCCGTTCCAACAGCATCTCCTCAGGCAGGGATTGTCTTACTGTCCCCCCCACCCCTAACCACAGACTCAACCATATCATCCCATAACCTTCTATTTCTGATCCTCTCTTTTCTGCATTATTGGGGTTCTACAGGGTAGGGAATAAGGCTGTTTGAAGTCTCTAGGCCTTCCAGCAGGCCAGGGCCGGAGTATGTGTTCAATAGTAAAAGCTGTCTCTACCTGGCAGGGTACCTAGGCCTGACCCAGGGGTAGAGAGGTAGCTAGCCTCACTTGGGAGAGGACACCACCGCCCCTATGCAACTTTCCAAGGCAACTGGCTCTGCCTTTCTGCTCCATTCCCTCAGGAAAACCCTTACCTTTCAGTGTAGGGCAAGGGGGGCAGAAGGGCCAAATCTATTCTCAGCCATATTTGTACTGGTCCACACATGAATTTTAAAAGAATGTTAAATTAACTGCTATCATTTAAAATTAAGGATATTTCAGAGAGCCTGGGTGGCTCAGTCAGTTAAGCGTCAGCTTGGGTCATGATCTCAAGGTCCTGGGATCAAGCCCCACCTCAGGCACCCCACTCAGCAGGGTGTCTGTTTCTCCCTCTGCCTTTCCCCTTGCTCATGCTCACTCACTCTCTCGCTCTCCCCTTCTCAAATAGAATAAACAAATAATAAAATAAAATCAAGGATATTACAGAGAAAAATCCACGTGTCTGGCTCTCCTTGACAAATGGAAGGGACTGCCCATACTGGGCCTGCGCTCTTCCATGTCAACTGATGCTGCTCCCTTTGGAGGAAGCTCCCCAGTAAGGCCCACCATACCCTATGACTTTACTCTCATCTGCCATCGGCCATGCTCCTGGCTTATCCCAGAATTCTGTCATTCTCCTGTCCTATACCATGTTTCCTCCCATCATCATCTCCCCTCTAGAGGGCAGAAGCTACATCCCCTTCATCCCTGTTCCCTCACAGTTCCTATCACAGGGCCCAATGCACAGCAGGTGAGTAAATGAACAAACGGTGGCCAAGCAAGGCCTTCTAACCAAACTTATGTGTTCTACCCTTTCTTGACATCTCTTAACATTCAGCATGAGTCAGAAGAGACCGTGGAGGCCTCATACCTCCCCCTGCCCCTTGCCCAACCCATTTTACAAATAAGCCACCAGAGGCCACACCTGGTTTGGTGTCTGGCGGAGGCAGCAGCAGCTCGCGGAGCTGTGAGTCTTTAACATCCTCAATCCAGCGGAGGTCCAGGAGCCGCAGGGCCGGCAGTGGGGCAGAGCCCAGGGCAGAGACAGAGAGCCAGGAGCAGCCGGAGAGCACCAGCTCCTGCAGGCCTGGACAGGGGGTGGGGAGGTCGGGAAGTTGGTGGGGAGGTCAGGACCATCTCCCTCTTTACCCTTTACCCCTTTATCCTACCTTGCCATCACCCCCTACCTTGCAAACGGACAGGGGGTGGGGAGGTCGGGAAGTTGGTGGGGAGGTCAGGACCATCTCCATCTTTACCCTTTACCCCTTTATCCTACCTTGCCATCACCCCCTACCTTGCAAACGGTTCAGAAGCCACATGAGCTGCTTCTTGGAGACACCTGTCCAGCTGAGGTCCAGGGCTCGGGGCTGGCGACGAACCACACCACTGAGCATGGGTGGGGTCAGTGACTTTCGACGGCTCAGGTCCATTCGAGGCCACAGACGCTTGTCATAGCACCTGCCAGCCACAAGAGGGAGACAGAGCCCTCAGCTCTTCTGGAGCCTGCCAAACTCCCTACTTCAAGGGTCCTCCACAGCTCTGCCGAGGCTCACAGAGACAGCAGGGGTGGCAGAAAGTTCCCGGCCTCAGGCCAAGAGCACTGGATTTGGGGCTCAACTTCATCACTAACTGGATGCGAGACCCCAAGCAGGTCCATTCCTCTCCCTGAGCCTCAGACGCTCTATTTGTAAAATGAAGATAATGATCCAGACTCAGCCTGCCCCACAGGGCTACTGTCAGATCAAATGAGGTCACTGCAGTTCACAGACCTTACAGCTCATAAAGCATTTTGCCAAAGACACAAGCACCCTACACATTGTATTTGATGTAACATCAAAGGGATCTGTCAGCAGCCCCCACAAACCCCCCACCTTGCACTTCTGGAGTTCTCCTTGGCTAAGTTATGGTGACTCGTAGGAACTTCTCATCTACCCTATTAATCTCTGCCGCTGAGCCCTATCTGCCCCATTCTGGTGGCCAGCTGCCCAAGGCCTGACTTACAGCCCTGTTATCTCCTCCCTTGGATTGCTATGTCCCTCCAACTAGAGCACAGTCTCAACAAGGGCAGGTATAGCTTTTCCCCTCTGGTAGCACCAGTGCCTAGCCCATGCCGGGTGCATAGCAGATCATCTACTGCACGTGTGCTGAATGAATGAATGCTGCGAAGCCCATGTGAGGTCCCTGAAGCTTCCATTGAGCACTCCCCCACAATATGCTTCGTCTATAGCTTTTCATTTGTTCACTCACTGTTTATGGAAGGCCTGGTAGGGCCAAGAATCAAAGTTTCAAAGAAACATGAGGCCTACACAAAGTTAAACAGGTTTCCTGATCCCTGACAACTTTGACTGGTCCGAGGTACAGCAAACCAGAGATGGGCTTCCCAAAATTATTTCACCAGGGACCCCTTCCCCTCCTCTCCCAAGGTCATCTGTGAATACCCTGTGGCCACTAAAGCTCCTTGGGACTTAGTTTGAAAAGCCTCTTCCAGTTCTCAATGCATGTCCGGAAATTCCCACTGGGCTAGAGGGGCTGTTTCAGAAGCAGCAGGGGTGAGGAAGGCCCAGGAAGCTGTCTCACCTCCCTCCCACCCCTCCCCTCATCCTGAAGGGTTCCCCCTTTGAGAAGCCCTGGGCTGGAGCAGTGCTTACCAACTCCAGTTAGTTGCTATCTCCTTCTCTGCAGAACATGAATTCATCTTTAAATGGATCCCCTCCTTGCACTTAAAACCAGTATTGTTTCGCATAAAAATGTTAACCTTAGGAATACATACAATAAAAACACACTGGGGCTATTAAATTCTAGGCAGGTGTTGGTGTGGCTTTAGGCTACCACCTGAAGACTATTTTTGTTAAACAGGGAGATAAGTATTAGAGAGGTGTTAAAGATACAATAGCACCCAATGGTGAGACTTCCTTTTCAAAACTAATAGAAGGATTAAGGCATGGTTTTGTGCCACTTGAAACTGCCAGGCATTCTCCATAGAGCCCTGTACAACATTTTAGGGAATCACTGGGGGCACAAACACTAAGGCTTCAATCCCAACAAATCCACTTCTTGTTCTGCCTGCTGCTTCTTACCCCTTCCCTGCCTCTTCTGGCATTCTAGCCTCTCCCTCTCCTGGTTCCTTCCACTCAACCAATTAACATTTGCAAATCTCTCCGATTATAAAACAGAAAAGGAAGGGGTGCCTGGGTGGCTCAGTGGTTGAGGTCTGCCTTTGACTCAGGTCACAATCCCGGGGTCCTGGGATCGAGTTGGGGTCCTGGGATCGAGTTGGGGTCCTGGGATCAAGTTGCGTATTGGGCTCCCCATGGGGAGCCTGCTTCTCCCTCTGACTACATTTCTGTCTCTCATGAATAAATAAATAAAATCCTAAAAAAAACAGAAAAGGAAAAAAAACTCAACCTACCCTCAACCCAGCTTCTGTCCCTAGGTCCCGCCCGTTTCCACTTTCCATCCAGTGGAATTGCCCATTCCAATCCAGTTTGGAGTCTCAGTTCAATTGCCACTATCCCACCTTGAAGAAGACCTGGATCTTCCATGGCTAGAAAGGAACTCTTCCCCCTAGGGGCCCACAAAGGCCCCCCCACCAAGTGTTTCTGTATCATACTCCACAAAAGCCAGACCAAACCACCTGCCCGCCTATAGACACACATTGCTGCCTGGTGCCAACATATATTAGCACACGTTGTGCTTCTGCCACAAATGCCAACCAACCCAGAGCTTTCAACACTCAGCTCCAGTGTTTCCTCTTCCAGGAAGTCTCCCATGACTTTTCTTCGCTTGAACTAATTGGTCCCTTTGCCCTTGAACAACTAGGACACTAGGTTTAAACCTCAGTTGTGGCCAACAATCCACTCGGGGCCTCCACTGGGCTGTCAGGAAACAAGGGAAAGATAGGCAGTCCACGGTAACTGAAGCAGCAAGGGACAAAACAGTCAATGATAGGATCTGACAGAGAGCTTCCTAGGGAGACCGTAAGGGGAGGGAAGAGAGAGTACATTCCAGATGGGGAAGAACCAGCGTCCAGGCCTAGGACACAGACAGAAAACTCTGAGAAACCCAGGCAGCAGGAACAAAGGGTAATTCATTCCCTTGCCTTAATAATGAGGAAGATGGGGCTGACTATGGCATTAATACCTAGTGTTTATCCAGGGTTTACTACGTGCCAGGTACTGGTCTGTGCATAGCCAGTTAACCTCACAACAGCCCTAGGAGATAAATACTGTTACTATAATCTCCTCTTTCAAATTAAGAGAAACAAGGCCCATGGAGGTCAAGAAACTTGTCCCAGGTCCCACAGCTACTAAGTAGCAGCAAAGCCAGGCTTTAACCCAAGCTGCTCTAGACTGAGAGCCTGAACCATGTCTGGGGAAGAAGCAGGGACAGGACTGCAGAGGAGGCCCAGGGTGGGCACACCAAGTCACAGCAGGCTGTAATGCCAGGCTAGACTGTCATTTAATGCACTCACTAAGGTACTGTATGTGTCCAAATGTCCAAGAGGGCTGTGGGAGTTCACTGTGAAGGTAGCAGGTAACCATGGATTGGTTCTTTCTAAGCTGTGGAATGACTACGGTGAGAAACAGAAAGAATTCTTAAGAGGCACGGCATGCCCTCATCCAGGGGCATCAGGGCTCGAGTCTGAGTTCCCTAACCCATTCACTTTTTCCTAGACTCCAGCCACCCCAGCTGACTCAGCTGTCTATTAAGCTCGCCTCCAAAATTCGAAATTCTGGGCCTAAGCCTGTGTTGCAGAGGCCCTTTGGGGATGCAGATGCAGCAGCCCAACTGGTGCCTGTAAGGAGCTCCAGCCAAAACTGGTTTTTGATTTTCAGCTCTCTGGGTTCCTTGATGCCACCACTGTCCTCCTATCCACCCATCTTCAGGCCTTTATTCCCAGATCCACTGATCCTCACCCTGTGGTCCAGTCCCTTTCTTGTCACCCTCTCTGCTCAGTCCTCCAAGCTCCAACCCTTTTTTCTACAACTAACAACTCTGTCATGCTTCCTCTGCCCACCCCCCTCCCTTCACTCTTGGTATGTTCACTTTGCCTCCCAGTTCCGACAGAGATAAAAGCCACCAGACAGGAAAGCCTGAAACTTCCTGCTCTCCCACCTACAAATTTCTCTGGCTCCACCCTCACTACCTCTTTCCACACTCCGTCCTGATTTCCTCACTTCCATCCATTCATCCATCCATCCATTCATCCATCCATCCATCCATCCATCCATCCATCCCTCCAACAAGTATTGTCTTAGAATCTATTGTATGCCAGGCTACATCTTAGGAACCTGGGACACAGCAGCAAACAGATTAAGTCCCTGCCTTGGAGCTGATGTCCTTAGCTTCATGAGACTGGGCTTGGTCTCCTACTCCCACGTAGCACACCCAAGGATACCAAGACCTCTTGTAGCAAATCCAACTGCCATTTCTGGTCCTGGGTCTCCCACGACCTCCTGCCAACATCCTAAACTTTATCATTCACTCCTTCCTCAATCTCTCTTCTTCAGGACACCTCTACCATCTCCATGTCTCTGGTTGCTCTTTCTCTAACTCACAGATACTGACATTTTGTCTTCTCCCTTTCTGGAAGCTGCTACCTATATGGCAAGAACTTCCAAAGCTGGATCTTTTAAGCGTCAGACTTGTACACCCATCTGCTGCCCTGCTAGCTCTGACTGGCCCACAGGCCTTTTGGACCAAACATGTCAAATCTGAGCACTTCGCTTTCCTGGTACCTGGTCCTCCTCTGGTGTTCCTGAGCTTGGGGAATGGCACTGCTGCCCACCCAGGCTTACGGGCCAGAAACTCAGCTGAGAGATACCCCGGAGCTCTCATAGCCATTTAGTCACCAAATGCCAAGCCATTCTGCTTCTTAAAAAGTTCTCAGCCTGGGCAGCCCTGGTGGCTCAGCGGTTTAGCACCACCTTCAGCCCAGGGCGTGATCCCGGAGACCCGGGATCGAGTCCCATGTCGGGCTCCCTGCATGGAGCCTGCTTCTCCCTCTGCCTGTGTCTCTGCCTCTCTCTCTCTCTGTCTTTCATGAATAAATAAACAAAATCTTTAAAAAGAAAAAAAGTTCTCAGCCTGAGTCCCTCCTCTCCTCTACCCCTCCTGCCCCTACGTCTGACAGAGCCTCCTCCCTGTTCCCACTGTAGCTCTGCTCTGCCCTACCTTCATCCTTTTTTTTTTTCCCCTACCTTCACCCCTATTGGAAAAACCATGATTTTACGGAGTGTTTAGTCCCTTTCAGGTACTGTGCTAAGTGCCTTGCAAAAACCACCTCATTTAGCCTCACGAGGTATTAGTATGAACCCTAGACCACAGACGAGAAAACAGGCCTTGAAAGGTACAGCTATCTACCCATGGCCATACATCCAGGCAGTATAGGAGTCACAGCAGAGGACACCCACAGCTGACAGACTCCAGGGCCCATGCTAGAAATCACTGTGCAAGCCAGCCTCTCTGCTTCGTCCACTTTTGGTCACAAGTCTCTCCTTGAGGTAGAAATCAAGTCCTCTTCAGTTCTGGATCCCATGTGCCAAGCACAGAGCTGGCCTCAAAGAGGCCTCAGCAAACATGCCCTCAACCACTATGTGAGCAGAGGCAGTAATCTCTGGCAATTGCTCTATTTGCTTCTATACTGCAGGCTGATTGGGAGCTCCTCAAGGGCCCAGACCTATGTTCTGAGGATGTAAAGTCTGTGCTTCCAGCCAATATTTGCAACTGAGTGAATAACACTGGCTAAACCACTGAGTAGTTCCTATTTCTTGGGTACTGTCCTTGGTTCTTTATACATGTTAGCTCACAAAGATGCTATCAAGTAAATGCTTTAGTTCTCCTGTCTTAACAGAGGAAGAAACTGAAGCACAGAGAAGTTAAGAAACTAGCCCAGCAGCCATCAGCTTATCAGGGGAAGAACAAGATTTGCCTCCAGAGCCTGCACTCCCATGCTCTTAGCTCACCAGCCTCCAGAGATCAGAGCGGTGAATAGTGCCCCAGAGTCCCAAGGAAAAGGAGTGGAGTTTGGGTTCAGCCACCAGCGTGTGCTGTGACTTCAGGCATCCCTCATTCTCTCACAGAGTTGCTATTATGAGGAAAAAGTCGGCCAATAATCTACAAAGTGTCCACCGGGATGCCTGCCCCACAGTAAGTGCCTGGGAAAAACCCTGAATGTATTCATTTAATAAAATACTTCTTGGGCACATACACTGCCCTCATCCCACACTGAGGAACATGCAGATAATAAAGACACAGTATCTGCCCCACTCTGACAAGCGATATGAACGGGAGGATGAATAAATGAGTAAAAGTTCATCAACTTGGGGAAGGTCTCTACGTGCTCTGTGAGGAGGACAGGGTACTGTGGCAGTTTGATGGGACTGGGGAGGGATTATGTCGGGGGCAGGATTGAAGAGGAAGACCAGGGGCTTCAGAGGATGACCAACATTTCTGAACAAATAGGGTTCAGGAAGCAGTGGGAAGATGAGTGGAAGAGAGGCATAGGGAGCTTGCAGTGGCTCTGGGGCATAGAGAAGTGATGGGGGGGGAGGTCAGGGGCCTCATGTATGGCTATCTCTGAGAAGGCAGGGGCCACCTCCCCAGAGAGCTTTCTTATGTGAAAATGGGACCTCTAATAAGACTGTCTTCAGGAGAAGAACTGTGAAAAGCAAATCAGGTGACACATACATAGCATTTAGTGCTATGCTTGACACACACACACTTATAAATGATGGTTATGAAGAGAAAAGGTGCTGGAGCCACAGTGCTTGGATTCAAATTCCTAGTTCTACTATCTCCTCTCCACAACTTTGACCTCAGCTTCATCTTTAAAGGGGAACCTACCCTGACAAAGTTGTTACGAGGGTCAAACGAGCTCAAAGATGTAGTTTGTGCACAACAAATATGGAAGACTTTAACGTGTACGTACTATAGTATTACCAACCTAAGACCAAGACCCAGAAAGGTCATAACCTGCTGTTACAGGGCATTCAGCAAATGAGAACCCAGGGCTGTCTAGGCCACTCACCAGCGGCTCCAAGTCCGGCAGACTCGCATGCAAATACACAGCTCTCGGGGCCCGAGGTGCTGGAAGACACGAAGCCAGGCGGCACGGGGCAGAGGGTGGTCGGATCCAGCAGCCAAAGGCAGCGTGTCGGGCTCAGGGCTTCGAGGTGGGGGCCGTACCACGTGCCTCTCCAGCTGTGGGGGCCGGGGCGGTGGGGCGGGGCCCAGGGGCCAGCTGAGGAGGGGCCCCCCACTGCCAGGGCGCACAGCCCGCCGCCCCCCGCGGTTCTCCTTCTCGCCCGAGCCGCCCCGGGCTGGCCGTCGCCCATTCCGGGCCTCGCCAGGGGCCTCATCCTCACTCAGCGATGTGCCTGAAGAGTCAGAGTCGGAATCCGAGTCCGAGGAGGACGAGGAGGTGTCAGGCACCCGCTCCAGCAGCTGGCACATGCGCTTGAAACGCTCTAGCTTCTCCCTCTGTGGTGATGGGGATGGTACTGCCGGGCCCTCAGCAGAGGCCAAAGGCGGCTTTGGTTTCTGCAAGGAGAAAAGGGGAGGCTGTTCTAGGGCCTGACACACACTCTCCCACCTCCCTGCCCTGAGGAGTCAGCAGGGGATGAGCAGCCCAAGAGAGTCCCGAGTTCTAGCCATAGCTCTGCCCCTGAACAATGTGAGGCCTCAGCCACATCATCATGTCCCTCTCTGGACCTCAGTCTCCTTATCTGTCACATGAAGGCACTGATTCAAAGAATTAGAAGCCTTATGGGTTTCAATAGCTTATGAATCTCCAAAGGCAGTCAAATATTGAAAAGAGCTGGAGATGGAGTTTTGAGTATCAGCTTGGCTATCAACTCTCTGTGGGACCTTGGGAAGCCCCGGCCTCATCATCTATAACACGCAACACTGGACTAGATGATTCCACGTGTCTGTTCAACGACGTGAGAGTGACGACATGAGAGTGACAGAGCACCTCATACTCACAGACTCACATCTTCACAGTGCTCCAACGGAGTGGCAACCTGGGCCACTCTTACACTCAAAGAAACTGAGGTTCAGACAGACTAAATGACTTACCCAAGGTTACAAACTGACCAATGCCAGAAACAGAATTTGAACACAATCAGGCAGACCCTTGCATTCACGTGTCAGTGCAAAGTGACACGTGAATTCTAACTTTGCTGTGTGACCTTGGGCAAGTCTTTTAACCTCTCTGGGCCTCGTCTTCCTCAAATCTAGGTACATTTCACAGTTCACAAATCTCATTTACTTTCATTAGATGTAAACAGTTCTGTGGAATGGGTGGATAAAGTAGGTAGTATCATCTCCTTCACAGATGAGGAAGCGAGGCTCAGAGCAGCTGACAAGTTGCCAAGACCACACAGGGAGTCAGTGGGCAGGGATTTGAACTCAGTTCTTTTCCCTTTAAGTTTGGAAAGATGACGCAAATGGGTCAGATGACACCTCAAGGGTTCTTGGAAAGTCCTGTGGCCTGGCCCCAACCCACCCCTCCCCCTCCACTCTTCCCAGGGGTCCAGATGCCCAGTGTAGCCAAATGGGGCAGGGGCAGGACAAGGTGAGTAGGAAGGGACAGATCTCTTCTCCAGGGTGGAGGGTGGGGCAAGGAAAGGTGGGAGGGGGAGGGAGGAGGTCCCCGGCACACCTCCCAGTTCTCGGGAGGGAGCCCAGGGTGGCAGGACGAGAAAGCCTGGCTCGGATTCAGAACCCTGGGGGGCAGAAGGCCGGGGCCGCCTGGGTCCGATCCTCGGAGGAGGCAGGCGTCTCCACCCACCTTCTTCAGGTGCCTCTCTCGGCCTCCTTTCACCTACCAGAGCAAGAGGGAAATATGGGGAAAGGGAGAGACCCCATTAGCCCCTTACTGTCCACAAAACTAAGATCCATGCTGTCTTCTTCAACTACAAATCCCAGAAGCCCCCATCTCAGGAAGAACTCTGAGCATGCTCACCTTCCAACCAGTGTCTTGACTCACTGAGCATGCTCTCCTCTTCTCTTTCTTCCCCCTCAGGCCCTTTCCAGCCCCTCCTTCCTCTTCTGTAGCAGCTAATTTGAGCATGCTCTTTTCCTCCTACCTGAAGCACCCAAGAATCCCAAACCTTCCCTGCCCAGTGCCAGTTGCCCCTCACCTGTACCTCTCCTCCCCATTGAGCATGCTCCATCCTCCCCCACTCCTATCTCTTGAACTACATCTCCCAACACCCCCTGGGGAACCCACAGAGCGCAGCCTCCCAGGCCCACCCTCCCTAAAAAGGAACTAGACTACTGCTCCCAGAATCCCTTGGGCTGGGCCTCACGAGCATGCTCCCTTGCTCACCTTTTTCCTTGGGGTGGGGGGCTCATTCCCTGCCTCCCTCTCCTTTCTTTTGGGGGGCCCAGGCACGTCCTCTGGGGGGGGCCCAGCAGGTAAGGGGCCCTTGCGCCTGGGTGGGGGTGGTGGAAGCGGCGGCTCCTCCGTCAGCTTCCATCCACTCCCCAGGCTGGCGCCCTCCTCGCCGTTGTCAGCCCTGCGGCGGCCTGGTCCCTCACCTGAATCCTGGGGAGATGGAAGCTGGGGGTGAGGTTCTCTCCAGCTCCCCAATCCACTATCTACCCAGAACCCAGCACCCAGCTCAGCCCCTACCCCTACCCCTACCTTGCTGGTCCGGCCTTCCTGGGTGCAGCGAGGGCACTCCCAGCAGTTAGGGATCTCCGCATTGATGACACCCTCAGCCTTCCCCATCTGTAGGCAGAGGGCAGGGAGTGCATGTAGGGCGCCAGTAAACCCAGAGGCAGTGCTCCCCAGGGCCATCACCTTCAGACTCCAGGGCCCCCAGGCCCATCACCTTCAGGCAGCCAGGGTGGACGATCTCATTGCAGATTGTACACTCCATGAGGCTCAAACCAAATTTCTCTTCCTCTCCCTCCACTGTGTCCTCCTTCCCAGCCTCCCCACACAAGAGGCACACAGCTGTGTGTGGGAGCACGGGCTGTTGGGGAAGAGGGAGTATTAGGGACCCCGAAAGCAAGCAATAGGGGTGGGGAGACCCTTCCTTCTGGGAAGCCTGGCCAGCCACTGGATGAGGTTCAGAACCCATGGGTCAAACTAGGTCAAATCTTGAATTTGTTCCTTTTTGGCAGTATGACCTTGAGCAAGTGATTTAACCTTCTCTTGTCTGTTTGTGCATCTGTAAAATGGGGCTAGGCATTTTTCTTTGCAAAACGTTTGGAAGAATGAGATCATGCCCCAGAGACACTGGATACATAGTTGTTATCACTGTTGAAAATGTTGCAGCTGGAATCAGAGTCTGTGTGTGTGACCCTGAAACTGTAGCTGGCTTTGGGGAAGGATAAAAACCACAGCAAATAGGACAATACTGTTGAGAGAGAGAGCACTGCAGGGCATGTGGCCGCAGCTCTGGGTGATTCTGAGTTTAAACAGGGAGCAGCCCAAGGGTTGCACTGGACCCTACAATGAATCAGGTTTTGGCAAGACTCCTGGGAACACTAAAGGCAGCTGGCTGGTCCTAGGGGGGAGAGCAGCCCTCAGACAATTGGACTTTGGGGAGGGCAGGGTAATAGAGAATCATCTGAAGGATGCTGACAGTGGGGAGACAGACCCAAGGATAAAGGAGGTAGGGCAAAGAGGAACAGGAAAGTGAAGCAAGGGTTGAGAGACAAAGGGAGAGAAGAGGGGGGTTGTGGGGTACCGAGGTAGCAGAGGGGCTAGAGGGAAAGGGGCCACATTCTGGAGCCCTGCAGAGCTCAATGGAAGAAACTCCTGTTCTCCGATACCTACTGTGTGCTGGGCACACTGACATCCGTGCTATTGCTGAATCTTTACAACTCAGCAAAGAAAATGTTTCACAGAAAAGGCACCTCAAGGTTCAAAATGTTTGTTCAAGGTCACACAAAGGGTAAGCCTGGCCTCAAATCCAAGACCACTCTGGCAGGTAAGGATGAGGCCAAAGAAGGCTAAGATCTGTTCACTTGGGCCAGCTCTGGAAGTGGGCCCCTGTGTACAGATTCCTCTAAGGAACAGTACGAGACAGGCAAGCTCTCTAGGAGTCTGTGCCTCTGACGCTGGGAAAAACACAAAAGTAAGCACTACATTAGATACTTCTGGGTGCCTTCACATTGGCCCCAGCTTGGAAATGGAGGCAAAAATGGGTCTGGAGAACATCTGAACAAAACACTGAATGAACGGGTGAACAAATAGCAACTCTACAGAGTGTGCTAGGAAGCAGCCACCCCAGAAGGACACCCAAAGCCCCAATGTATCCGATGCACTGGGGACAGAACTCACGGCAGTGCACTGCCGGAGCAGGCACGACTGCTTCATGCGCCCGGGCCCCCCGAACTTCTTCATGTCTCGGCAGAAGTGGCAGTCCCCGCACTCAGTTCGCACACAGGCCCGGCAGCGGCGGCAGCGGGTTCGGCGTCGGCGCGCTCCGGCCCCCGGCCCTCGGCTGCTCGACGACATTGGGGGCGTCAGCAACGCCGAGGGCTGTGGGTGAATGGTGGCAGGGTCAGGTGGGCCCACTGAGGCCCCAGCCTGGAAACTCCTGGCAGCTCCCCCCATTCCTAGGCAGCCGGAGCTTGCTCTCCTGAGGGAGGCAGGGAACAAGGAGATCATCCCTGGGTGGAGAGGGTTGGGGGGGGGGCACCAGTCCCTCTACTCAAAGCCTCTCTCTCCCAAAGCAGCTCACCTGGCTCCTCAGGAGAACTGGCTTCCAGACCTCACTCTTTTTACTCTAACACTTCCTCAGCAGCCCCTTGCCTAGCCCAGGGAGGAGGAAGGGAATGGGGCCCCTGCACTGACATTCCTACACCAAAGTTCCTTGGAAATCCAGGGCTCCTTGTCTGTGCAGTTACCTTAGAGAGGCCCCACTCTTCCCCCGTTACCCAAATCTACTACACCTCATGCATTTCCCAACCTAAAATTCCCCAGACTTACCTCTCTCCAAGATACCCAAATTCCCGAGTAGAAGCTCCAGACCTTTCTTCCTCCCTCCTTTCTCACTCTCACACACAACTACCACCCAATCTCTCTTTCCCCAAAACCCATACGTTGTCAACAGATCCAATGGGATGCTTGCCCTCCCCCATCCCTAGGGCTCTGAAACACCCCCCCCCCATGCTGCTTCAGAGCCCCTCCTCAGTTCAAGATCTCAACTGCTTGTTCCCCACAGAGCTCCTTCTGCCCCAAGACACCCTCCTCTTGGATCTCTCAGGTCAGCCTGGGCAATCTCCCAGATTCCCTGGGATTCTAGAATCCACCCTGACATCTCCACGGAACTCAGTCCTACATGTCTTCCCCCCCACCCCCAAGCTTCCCAAGCTACTTTCCATCCCTAATTGTCTAGAATCCCTCGGGCTCCCCTTCCCATGGAAACCAGATCCTCCAAGATCCCATACAGACTCAGCAGGCCTGGAGGGGTCTCTTCGTGGCCAGAGTCTTACCCTAGCTTCCCCCTTTCCAGGGACTTCCAGCCCCATCCATGGGGGGAAGGGGCCCTCCAGCGCTCCAGGGGAGGGGCCTGGAGGGCGGCGACTGCAGGCGGGGATGGGGGTCTGCAAGGGGAAGCAGGGTCTAGGAAGGAAGGCCAGTTCCCCAGGGTTGAGAGGTAACAGGAAGGAGGGCTGGAGATGAGGAGTTTGGAGCAAGGAGAGGGCGAGGCTGGGGGCGGGGAAGGTAGAGAGAGGCCGGGTTGAGGATGAATGGGAGTGGGAGCTGCCCAGGTCTGGGGGTGAGGAGGAGCCGCATGAACCCACCTCACACGTGTCCCGGGAGCCATCTCTCCCTTCTCGGCAGCTCCCGGCGGGTCGGCGGCCATCGGCGGCGGGGGGGCCGGGCGGCGCGGGGCGCGGAACGCTCAGAACGCCGGGGTCCACGGCCCCCCGAGGGCGCTCGGCCCCTCCCTCCGGCGGAGGCCGGGACGGCGGCGAGTGGAGATGGGGGGCGCCGGGGGCGAGGCCCTCCCACGGGCTGCGGCGCGGCCCTTCCAGGGGGAGGTCCTGCTCTGGGGGGCTCAGTCCCTCAGCCCCCCCAGGCCAACGGGGGCTCCTCGGGCGCAGGGTGCTCAGCTTCTGCCCGGGCCCCACTCAGTCCGGGGTCCGAGTCACAGCTCCCCTCCCCCCACTCCGCCTCTCCCCAGCGCCCCCGGCCCTTTAACTGGCCCCTTCCCGGCCCCCACTGCCCAGGGGTCCAGGGCCAGGCCTGGGCCCCCCACAGTTTCCGGGGTTCAAGCCCCGCCCACCGCCGGTTCCCGGGGAGGGGGGGGTCCCTGTAACCTGCCCCCCTCCCCTGGGCCCGCCCCTAGACTGCGGCCCCCTGCCCTAGGGCTAAGGGGCGAGTGGAGGGGGGTGAAGGAAGCTGCTCCGGCCCCGCCCCCCCAGCCTGCGCGCGCCCCCGCCCTCTTCCCCCTCCCCCCCAGCGCGCGACCCTCCAGAGATAGGGATTTAAATAAAATTTGAATAAATCCCCTTCCTCAAGCCGGAGGGTGGAAGGAAAGGATGGAAGGGGGCAGGGAAAGGGGGAGGGGGCAATTGGGGTGCCTCAGCCCCCCTGGTCCCCCGGCCCCGCGCTGCTTCGGCCCGGGGCCCTGGCCGCCTCTCTCATCCCTCCTGAGCTCCTTCCTCCTTCCTCCTCTCTTCCCCCACCCCTCCCTCCTCCTTCCCTCCTCCTCCTCCTCTTTACTCCCTCCTTCTCCCAGAGGAACCCCGCCCCCTGCCCCCTCCTTTCCCCACCACCTCCACTTTCCAGGACGAACACGCGCAGGGCACGACGGAAATCGTAGTCCTGCGGCCGCCGGGGATACCGTGGGAACAATGGGATGCTGGGGCCAGCGGGGACTACAAACAAGATGGCGGAGGGCGTGCCAAGCCGGGAGCCAAGGATGCCGGGAGTTATAGTCCGGTTGCCCCGAGGCTCCCCGTTGCAGAGGATAGAGAAGGAGCGGGAACGATGACTACAAACAAGATGGCCTTCTCCCCGGACCCGACCTCCTTCCCAGGCACTCACACGCCCTCCTATCCACAACCCTCCGCGTGTGTGGTACCTGACGGGAGTCGCAGTCCATCTGCTGCCTTCCCGCTGCCATTTCTACTGGTCGGGAACAATGGAAAGGTGAAAAGGAACGAGGACTACAAGCAAGATGGCGGAAGAGGGGCGTACACCTAATAGTCGGTCTTATGAGGTGCGACGGGAATAGTAGTTTTCTAGCCTTCTAGTGTGCCTTAAGAATGGCGGAACCACGAGAATAAGAAGACTACCATAAAGATGGCAGGGTACCTGGCCTCTCCCCGTCGCCTCATTCTACTCCTTGGGCACCTCGCCCGCCTGTAACATCGAAATCCCCCTCCCGCTGGCGCAGAGCCTGACGGGAGTTGCAGTCTTCCCAGCTCCGCTCTATTATCTTTGGTGGAGACAATGGAAGGGGAAAGGGGCGGGGACAACCAGCAAAAATGGCGGCCGAAGGGAAGGGGAGGCGGCGATCTGGGATTTGTAGTCCACGCACTAGGGCCGCTCCCTTGGGAAAACGGGGGAAAGGACTACAATAATGATGGCGGCCCATCACTTGCTCTCTGCGGCAGTGCCTGCTGGGGGACGTAGTCCCTTCATTAGCTCGCCAGAGAAAAGACGTTGGGCTGTTAAAATGTGCATCACCGCCGACACGGCAAATTGCGAGCCTACGGGAAGCGAGAGTCTCTTTCCTCCTCTCCCCACCACCTCTTTCTGAACGACCTGCCGGGAATTGTAGTCCCACGCCTTCACTCGCTAGTGGAGAGGGAGAATTTATGTCACCAGTGGGGTTCAATGCGGGTGAGGGAGAAAGACGTCCAGGAGATCTAAGGAATATATATAATGCCCGCCCCCGCGTGTAGCAAGGATTTCATATTTGAGGGCCAGGCTCTTAAAGGAAAGCAACAGTAATCAGTATTGTCGCGACAAGGGAGGCGTGGTTCTTCCCGAAAGTACCATCACGCTCCTATCCCTGGGCGCCTCACACCCGACGTTTGTTCCCCCAAACCTCATGGAATCGGTACCTTCCAGGTCGTGAGGACTCCAGGAAAGAGGCTCTGAAGTCACACAAAATCCCCTACCCTCCTCGGGAAGTCACCAAACCTCAATTTTCTCATCTGAAAAATGGGGATAAGGATACCTACCTCCAAGTAGATTTAGGTGTGTTAGGACAGTGTTCACGAAAGTGCCCAGTTCAGGGCCTGACACAGGGCACGTGTTGGTAGTTCCTTTTTCGAGTTCCCTTCCTGCCCAGCTCTTCTGGGATCCCAGGAATCCATCACGCCGGAAGGGGTTAGCTCCTGTGAGAAGAAAACTGTGGCAGGCAATCTACCCCCATCTTGAACCGCACCCCCTCCCCCGCCCTCCCCTCGCATCTGGGTCCTCCAGCGTCCACTACCGAGCACTGCTCCCAGGGGGCGCCCATTCTCCATTTGACTGAGGTCCTGAAGCCCGGTCAGATTCCTCAGCCTGAAGTTGGTTCTGCGTACTGCCCAGCCTCATCTCCAGCCAGGCTTGGAGGCATCCCTCCAGACATCTCAGCTGCCAAAGCAAATGGGAATGCTTCCCACCTTTGTGCCTTCTTACCTGCCTTCTTGATCTTCCTCCTCTGCCTGGAAAACTACTCACTTCTGACCCCAAGGCAGCACCCCTGCTCCCCTCTCTCTTCTGTGTTTGATAGAAGAGGGTTAGGGGGCCCTGCGGAAGACTCGGTGGGTGTGGTCTCTCTGTCTGGGAAGTTAACGCTGGCCAGTTTAATGTGGTCTTAAGTTTGTAGGGACTGGCCTGAGGCTGAACTGAAGCTCCTTCCAGTTCCTTACTTGTCTGGAAATCCTTGGCCCCCAGATGATTGTCTCCTCCGTGTCCTCACTGCTTTAGCATTGGCTCCCGTGATCAGGACTTTCTCAAGGGCTTTTCCCGCTGCCTGTTAGGTCCTTCCCCTTCTCCTTCCCACTTCTCTACTCTTCATCCTTCATGTTTCTGTTTAAATGCCACTGTCCCAGTGAAGTCTTCCTGTAATTCCCAGATGAAATTTATTTACTGACTCAATACATTGTAAGCTTTATGAGGTGTCCACCTCACATGTTAAGTCAGTGTTTTCAACATCTCATCTGATCCTCAGAAGAATCCTATGATGTAGAAATCCCATTTTATAGATGAGTGCTATAAATGGACTGGGCTATAACAAATGGGTGATAGAGCCAGGATTCAAACCCAGAACTCCAGACCCATCCTGAGGACTACTGCAACATCCACAAACTGATCAGCCAAATGTGTGTGCTTAATGTGACACAACAGCAACAAATTTCTTGAAATTTCCACTTTCACTTGAAATCCTGAAATCTAGCAATACCGAGCCCCTGTTTCTTGGACAAGAAACAACTGGACCTGAGCAAATGGCTGCCGCTTTGGATAAGACATGTACTCACCAGTTCAACACCGTTCGTTCGTCGGGTCCACCACCACCCACCACCACCACCCACCCCCACTAGCTTGCTTTAGTTCTAATGTAAGCATTATGGGCCCCACTCCATTAACTGAGACAACCATAATAAGCCTATTGAGGGTCAGGCCATTTCTTATGCTGTATATATAGCACCCCTGTGCCAGACCCCATTTCTGTACCCACAGCTGGGTGGTTAGGGGGACGGCAGAATGAAATTGCATATAAATAATATAAAAAAACTTTTACTTGGGGCACCTGGGTGGTTCAGTGGTTGAGCAGACATCTGCCTTTGGCTCTGTCCTGGGATCGAGTCCCATATTGGGCTCCCTGAGTGGAGCCTGCTTCTCCCTCTGCCTATGTCTCTGCCCCTCTCTCTCTCTGTGTCTCTGTGTCTCTCATGAATAATAAGTAAGTAAAATCTTAAAACCAAAAACAAACTTTTACTTTGCACTTTGTACCCCACTCTACAGCTTAACATTTTTACCATGAGCAGATATTATTAACATTTACAGGAGTTGAAAATACTATAATCCAACCATGTTGACATTAAAATATGAAAATGACAGACCTCAAAATAAGTGAACTCAAGGAATCCGGCACTCATGAGTCCTTTTCATTTGTACAAAAATGATGGTTGTTTTCTGTCAACCTTATTTATGCATTTTGTATAAGACACTTTGGAAGGATGGCTTATGACCACTCAGTGGTGGTGGTTTTCTTTGTAAGGGCCTGGGTGGTATAACTAAAGACCAGTTTCAGAAACAGGTCAGACCACTCAGTCTCTAGTGAGGAACCGCTAAAAAGGAATGAAGGGTACCTTCCTACTTTCAGAACTATCTTGGGGCGCCTGGGTGGCTCAGTTGGTTAAGCATCTGTCTTTGGCTCAGGTCATGATCCCAGGGTTCTGGGATTGAGCCCCACATCAGGCTCCCTGCCTGCTTCTCCTCCCTCTGCCTGTGTTCTCTCTCTCTGTCAAATAAATAAATAAAATCTTAAAAAAATAAAAAGAACTATCTGAAACCTTGGAATGAGCACACTGAATTCAGGAGCTGGAGCAGCCCATTTATCTTGGAAGTTCTAAGGAGCAATGGCTACTCTTCTCTTCTTGATCTCTTCTGGATCTCTGTATACGTTCATAGCTTCTGTATCAGCCAGGATAGGCTGGGTTAAGTTGCAATAACAACAAGCTTGGGTGGCTTATAACAACAAAGGTCTGTTTCTTGCTCCTGCTGCATGGCTAGTGGGGATGGTCTGCTCATTCTATTCACTCAGGGGAGAGGCTTCATCTTGATACGAGCTTCCATGTGACAGTTCTGCTCACATTGTACCAACCTGTACATAATCTCACCTAACTGCAGAAGGGGACAGAACAGAGATCTCGCCACATGCCTGGAAGAAGAATTGGAATACTTGTGAGCAACCCCAATAACAAATACAGCTTCCTAAGGGCCCTAGGAGAAAGTGCCACCATCTAGAGGATTTTCTGGGCAAGCATACACTAGGAGACACCCAGTGAATGAGCTCTTTTGTTATCATATGGTATGGGGACATCCACATAAAGTAGAGAGGAATCTGATATACATTGAACTATAATGGAAAATCCCTCTGTGAGAGGTTGATGGTCAGCTCTGGGATCAATCATCACAAAAGGCAAGGTGCCCCATGGGGTGCCTGGGTGACTCAGCTGGTGAAGCATCCAACTTGGTTTTGGCTCCGGTCATGTGCTCAGGGTCATGAGATTGAGCCCCACGTCAGGCTCCACATTCAGCTCAGAGTCTGCTAGAGATTCTCTCTTTCCTTCTTCCTCTATCCCTCCCCCTGCTAAATAAAGAAATAAATAAATAAATTTCAAAAAAGGGGGGGGGCAAAACACCAAAGTGCGCAAAAGCTGCCTGGATCTGATTAGTGAAGATCCCAGAAGTGAAATGCTCAGCAATGAGCGTGGCTTCAGGTGGCCCCACAACCCTTCAGTAGAGCTCTGCTTGTGTTCCCAGAGGATCTGATGTCAACAGCAAACTGAGTTTCTACTGGAAGCATGAGCTTAAACTTCTTCAAATTTATCATATAGATAATATCACTTTTTAAAGATTTATTTATTTATTTTAGAGAGAGAGAGTGAGTGGGGAAAGGAACAGAAGGAGAGGGACAAGCAGACTCCCTGATGAGTGAGGCACCCAATGCAGGGCTTGATCCCAGGACCCTGAGATCATGACAAGCCAAAACCAAGAGTTGGCCACTTAACCGACTGAGCCACCCAGATGCCCCATAATATCATTTCTTTTTGCAGATGTACCTTTCCATTTGGGAGCCAGGATCTGTGCTCTAAGTGGATTCCTGCAGCAAGGGCTCTGG